GGTGGAGAGGGAGGTGGGAGGGGGGATCGGGATGGGGAATACATGTAACTCCATGGCTGATTCATGTCAATGTATGACAAAACCCACTACAATATTGTAAAGTAATTAGCCTCCAACTAATAAAAATAAATGAAAAAAATAAATAAAATGCCATGTTTCTAAAGGCATTATCAGATAAGCAAAAATCTTACATAGTAAGTTAGAAATTAGAGTTGGAAGAAATATTAATATAATCACTTATATTTCTAAAATAGGAAAATATATATATAAATAGAATTATCCTGATTGATCTTTAGGGGAAAAAACTATGTAAACTTAGCAGTTTATTCAGAAGTGGCTTCTTCAACTTGAAATGATAACTCTCAAAATGTCACAGATCATTTGGAAAGTACAATGATAATGAAAGAGAAATTGTGTTGTCACCATAATGCACAAGGAGGGGAGGAAGGGAACGTATATATAATCATGTCTGATTTGTGCTATTGTATGGCAGAAACCAACACAGCAATTTTAAAAGTTTTTAAAATATTGAAATAAAAAATGGGGGAAAGCACTGAAATTGGTGAAAGAACACAAAACTTTTTTTCAGTTAAGCAAGTGCAAGATTCCTTTACCTTCTCCGTTAGTTTCAGAGGTTTTAAGTCATTTCCTATATTTCCTCTCTTCCCCCTGCTTTAGTTTCAGAGGTTTTAAGTCATTTCCTATATTTCCTCTCTTCCCCCTGCTTTTTTTTTTTGCCTCAAAAATAATCCCAAGGATTAAATCTGTGCTGGATATTGGCTTTGAGCCTTGTGATATGTTAAAACAATAAAGTCTATATGTGTGTGTTATACATGGTTCCACATACATTTATATGTAGTATGTGTGTACATACATATAAGAGCATGTACGTACCACATGCACATACACACACACACTTACCCTAAAGAGGTTAAGTACATTAAGAGTAGAGTTATAACACTAAAAGTCTGTTTCACCTTGACTGTTTCCTCTGATAAACCCTCTTAACTAGGCTGTACCAGTATTAGGAAGCAGTAGACAATACTTAAGTTTCCTAGATTGCTTAGTTTGTCTTTATTTTCCACATTAAGAGAATGATGCCAATGAACCGGAGAGCCTCGCTGTTATGAGTGCCCTAGGCCTTTGCTTTTTCAAGGCGAGTCACAGAAGGAACAGTGAACCTCTACCTCAGTGGTTCTCAAAGTGCAGTTTGTGGAACACCAGTCACCTACATATTTTTTAGGGAGTCCACAAGATCAAAGATCAAACCAGTCAATCTTAAAGGAAATCAGTCCTGAATATTCATTGGAAGGACTGATGCTGAAGCTGAAACGCTACTTTGGCCACCTGATGCAAAGAACTGACTCATTTGAAAAGACCCTGATGCTGGGAAAGATTGAAGGCAGGAGCAGAAGCGGGCAACAGAGGATGAGATGGTTGGATGGCGTCACTGACTTGATGGACATGAATTTGAGCAAGCTCCGGAAGTTGGTGATGGACAGGGAAGCCTGGCGTGCTGCAGTCAATGGGGTCGCAAAGAGTCGGACACAACTGAGCGACTGAATTGAACTGAACTGACAAGATCAAAACTAGTTTTTAATGCCAAGATATTTCTTGCATTTTTCATTGATGGTACAAAATCATTGGTGGGTAAGTCATCTTAATGTGAATCAAGGTAGAGGCACCAAATTCTACTGTATTCCTCATTGGCACACATTTACAACTTAAAAGAAAAAAATGCCAGTTTTATTTAATGTCCTGGTTGAATCCATAAAAATTATTACTTTAATAAATCTTGACCCTTGACTACAAATTGTAATAATACATGATGTGATGAAAGGGAAGAATACATAAAGCACTTCTGCTGAATTCCAAGTACAGTAGGTAGGTATCTCAAGGGAAACCTTTATTTGAATTGAAAGTTGAATTAGCCACTTTATCATAATGTACCATTTTTAATTGAATAAAACAACTGATATTCAGACTTGAGTATGTGGAGGATAATTTCTCAAAATGAATGAAGCGAACTTGACATTTCAAGGGGAACTACATAATAAAATTCAAACTTTCAAGCGATGATTAGAATTTTGGAAAATTTATACACCACTATGAGCTTGACAGGCTCCAGTTACTTAAAAAAATTTCTGATGAAAGCATTAGTGATTTCAATGAATGTGATTTCTAAGTATAATTTGTCAGCATTTGGAAAATCTGCATGACTAAGTGATTCAGTATTTTCCATATGTTCCAAATGACCAATGTCATTACCAAATCATATACGGATAAAAGATCCATTCAAAGTACAAGACAGATGAATGAGTTTTAACAGCAAGGAGTTTGAAAAGTTCATTAATACAGTTTTCAGGCTCCATACTGCAACTTACCAAGTTAATTTGATATATTAGCAAATTATAATTATCCACAGTTATATGAAAAGTCTGTTAAGATAGTCTTTCCTTCTCTAACTGCATATATATTTGATTCATAAATTTCAATCAAATCAACATATCAGAGCAGACTGAATGAAGAAGCAGATATGAGAATCCAGTTATTTTCTATTAAGTCCACTGGTAAAGAGATTTGCAAAAATGTGAAACAATGCCATTATTCTCATTAATGGTTTTTGTTTTAGAGAATATAGTTATCTTTATAATAACAATTTATGTTAACCTGGAATGGGTTTATTATTTTTAAATGAGTTAATATATATATTTTTAAAATCTCATTTTAATTTCTAATGTAGTAAGTATTGATAGGTATCACCCACCTAAAACGTGCTCTTTGAGGTCCTCCTCCTACATTTTAGGACATGAAGGGATTCCCAAGATCAAAAGTCTTGAGAACCACAGCTCTACATTGGTGTATTTTATTCCTGAAATTGTTCCTGGCTTCAGAGAGCAAGCCCAGTTCCTTCCAAGGTATACAGGAAACTTATCATGAAGGAGACAATAACCAAATCTATCAAAAGATGTAAACTATAGCACAAGGACCGTACTTAGTGCTGTCACTGCAGCTGGCTCGGGTCACTCCTAATCAGATTAGGTGAGCCCTGCTCTGTGAACAAGCATCTGAATCGACTCATCCATTTAACAGACAGTTGCTCAGGGCCTCTTGTTTTCCAGGCACTGTGGTAAGTGATGGGGGTGCAAAATAGAACAAAACAGTAGCTTCTAGGCAGAAAGTGGAAGTTAAGATGAGTTTTAGTGCCTGTCTGTGACTGCCACTGGACAGCTGTGACTAGAAAACGTTTGGGGCCATGAGATTATAATGATCCATTGAGAAGAAAAAGGTCCTAAAGTGTCAGGAAAATCAAACTTTGGACTAGTCTGAAATGTTAATAACACTAGGAGTAGGTGACGTTATTTAGTTTGGGTGGCTTGCCTGAAACATATGTTTTAAAAACACACACCTATATGATAACATATAGGTTCTCCCTTCAAGAAGCTTGCAACCCAGTGGTGGTGAACAAAGTGGAATTAAGAAAGTTGTGTTTCAGCAAAATGAGGAAATTTTATCAAATGCTGCACAGATGTCAAGTGGGTAGATCATAGGTAAAAGGAACGCCAAGCGGTTGGATTTTCCATGTTGTGTTAAGACAAATTACTGCTTAAGAAGAAGTCAGGTAAAGCAGTGAGATGAAATGGAACATATTATAATAATTTCCAAAGATAAACACTAGTGAACCCAAATAGGAGGCTTTCATTTTCTTTAGGCTGTTTATGGTACAGCCTTGAATTCATTATTAGGAAAGAGAAGATCCAGGAAACAAAAAGGCTTGGGAAAACAAGCACCAAATGTAGCCTTTCCCTGCTCTTTAATCAGACAACATAACAAGGGCAGCTGTAAAGAGCGAGATTATTGGATCCAAAGATGGCAAAAAAGACTGGTTTTTTTTGGCCCTCACTGGCCGCCCTTTTTCCTTGCCGTGAGATAAGGAAAAAATGTTTCTTCTCCCAGTAGCCAGATGATTAACTTGAAGTCTTAAATCATAATACAGGCAATGGGGTTAAGCCAAAAGATAGAACAGTGCAGGTGAAGGAAAGGATGTGTCTCTTTTTCCCACAGCCTCAGTATACCCTATTCATCTTCTGTCATTCAGAGAGAGAGGCTGGGGCTTCCCTGGTGACACAGTGGTAAAAAAAAAACAAAACCCATCTGCAATGCAAGAGATGAAGGCTTAATACCTGGGTCAGGAAGATCCCCTGGAGGAGGAAATGGCAACCCACTCCAGCATTCTTGCCTGGGAAATCCCATGGACAGAAGAGCCTGGCAGGGCTAGGCTGCAGAAGAGTCAGACATGACTGAGTAAACAACAACAAACAACAGATGTTTTCAGGGAAAATTGACTTCTCAGAGGATAAGTTTGAGGTTCACAGTGAAATATAAAATGTGTAGGAAATAGAGGGGGGAAAAATCGAGTCAAAAAATCACAGGGGCCAAAAAAAAAAATAGGAGGGCAAAAAAAAAGTTCTCCCCAATACCTCTTCCCCACATGAGATGATCCCATTTATAAGGAGATTATTCGTGGCAAAGTCGTTTGCCTTTCAGGACTTAGTAAATAATTAATACAAACCAATGCTGAGGTTTACACTTTAAAAATAATTCAAAGCAAAAAACTCCAAGATGACGAGCTAAATAGGAAAAACATTTTAAAGGATGGGCTGTGCTCTTTCTGGCATCTTCTGGCTCTTTCTGGCATATCTTTCTGACATTAGGGGAAAGGGAGAGACCAGGAAATAACAGGCAGCTTTGCTCTCTCTCTCTGGGCTTTGGCTTTGGCCCATTGGAGCTAAAGGGCACCACTGATTGCACAGGAGTTAGTAAATGTGTTTGCTGTTTCCATGTGGGGCTCCTTATTTCCTCAAGGGGTGGATTTCTCAATGACTTGTTAAAACCCTAAAGTACAGTGACAGCTCATGGACTAATTGAGACTACTGAATACGACAGGTTGGAGCAGAATTTTCAAATGCTGTGAACAATGCAGTATGCTGTGTGTAAAGATAAATGAATTCACCAGTCACCTCTCTTTTCTCAGAAACATGATTCCGGTGACAGAGTTCCGTCAGTTCTCTGAGCAGCAGCCTGCCTTCCGGGTGCTGAAGCCATGGTGGGATGTGTTTACCGATTACCTGTCCGTGGCCATGCTGATGATCGGTGTGTTCGGATGCACTTTGCAGGTAGGTCAAGAAAGAGGCAGAGCAAGACACTAAGCCATCTAAATCTCCTAAAAAAGTGTGTGATTTTTAACCATGTATACATTCGTTGCTCTTTCTCTGTTTGCATGTGGTATTTATAATCATGGCAGGGAGCCTGAAGCCTAATTTCCTGAACTTTCCTAATAAGGTAAATAGGGTATTTGTAAGGTTTAGCTGAGTTCAAACAGCAGTTGAGTATAGTCAAGTAATATTTGATGTCATGAATATCAAAGGGAGTCCTTTATCTTTCAAAGTTGGCTTTACGGTAAAATACAGCGTATATACAACAGTGCCATTTACATTGTTAATATCAAGCTTTTTTCTTTATCTCTTATTTTCACTCCTAAGATTTTCTGGAAGAACTGACATTTTGATGAGATGTTTTCACACCCAGTGCTTTAGTTCTGAATTAAAATGTAACTGAATCATAATTTATCCTGTATACATACTGTACATTCATATGTTGAATCTAGATTGATTTTTTTTTTGGCATATCTATGTGTCAGGCACTATCCTTTGTGACCATAAGCAGTTCATTTCTAGGGGGAAACTAAACAAGCAGTCAGAACAGGTTGTGATAGAGGCTTCCAAAGAGCTCTGAGTACAAAGCAGGGGAACCAGAGAAATGGTTGCAATATTAAAACTTGAGAGCCAGTCAGGAAGAGGGAGCTGGCAATAAAGAAAGTGCTAGGGAGAGGAAAGAAAGCTCCAGTCATGGATGTGAAAAAAGGACACGACGCCTCTGGGAGACAGTCTGTAGGACGGGCGCCCTTTGGGTGTCTTCAGTGTGATAGTTGAAGCAGCGCCTGGGAATGGAGTCAGACCAGGAGGATGCGGTTGGTGAGGTGACGTCAGGAATGGCAGTGGAAAGTGAGAGTGATGGAAACTGAGGCGCCTCTGGAAAAGGCTGACGAGGGGCAGCCCGAAGGACAGGTGGAAACCAGGAGAGGGGAGAGGCTCAGGTGTGGTCAGGGAAGGCAGGTGGTTCAACTAACTCACAGGCTGAGGAGAGAGAAACAGCAACTAGGCCTTTAGAAACAGTGCAAGCGGTTGGAAAGCTGAATGGAAGTTAAAGGCTATGGGGTAGATGGAACTTTCATGTCTTGATAGATCATCTGAGAGGAAAAGTCAGGAAAGAGGGAAGTAGCTAGAAGTGGTGCAGAGTAGAAATAAAGACCTTTTTGTTGTTGATTTTAATAATAGTTAATATCTAGTGCTTCCTAGGGTTTCCCAGGTGGGTACAGTGGTGAAGAATCCACCTGCAATGCAGGAGATGCAGGTTCAGTCCCTGGGTCAGGAAGATCCCCTGGAGAAGGATATGGCTACCCACTGAAGTATTCTCATCTGGGAAATCCCATGGACAAAGGAGCCTGGTGGGCTACAGACCCTAGGGGCACAAAGAGTCGGACACGACTAAATGTCTGAGCACAGTGCTTCCTATGGGTCAGACACTCTTCTGAACACTTTACATATGTTTTAAATCATTTCATCCTCATACCAACCCTAGGATGTTCTATTATTATCCCCATTTATAGATGCAAAACTAAGGCACCAAGAGATTAGGAAAACTTCCAAGGTGACTGACGAAACCCTTGTTGAAATCCAAAGAGTTTGGCCCCAAGTCCCTGTCCTAATCCCTAACACCAGGCTGCATTTTATTTGCAGGCTGAAAATATTTTGCCCTCCTCCCCACACCAATAAATTGATGCCAGTGAAAAACTAGAGTTTGAAAGAAAGGGCATAAATTCATTCATAAATAAAACAGATGGTTGTTGAAGAACCTACCATGTGACAGGCAGTGTTGAACAGGCCAGGCATTGTCAATGCAGGAGATTAAAAATAAAAAGACAAATCTCCTAGCCTTATAAAATTTAAGTTCTATGGGGAAAAAAATAAGCAAAATCAATCAGTTATACGCTGATTCACTGGAAAAGATCCTGATGCTGGAAAAGATTGAGGGTGAGAGGAGAAAGGGGAGACACAGGATGAGATGGTTGAATGGCATCACTGACTTAACGGACATGAGTTTAAGCAAACTCATGGTGAAGGACAGGCAAGCCTGGCGTGCTGCAGTTCATGGGGTCGCAAAGAGTCGGACACAACTGAGTGAGTGAACAGCAGCATCAGCATACATGTTTGAAAGTAATAAGAACAATGGAAAAGAAAATAAAGCACACAAGAATGGTAGGAAGTCCCAGCAGCTGAGATTAGCACTTGAGGTTCTCAAACAGGGTGCCCTCACTGGGGAGGTGACTTGTGAAGAAGGAATTGAAGTCAGTGAGAGGGCAGCCTATCCAGATATCCGGGGAGGAGCCATCCTCTCAGAGGGAATAGATGGAGCAAAAGACACAGTGAACAAAGCAGTCACAGTACCCTTCCCCTTCTACAGAAGAAATTGACATTTGGCTTTCTCAGCTTTCTATCTCAGTTTCCCTGGAGCCTGATACAGTAGAATGTTAATTGTGTTACTAGGCGACATTGCTTATGGCATCAATGACTGCTGATTGGTCAACTACGTCTGGGCTCGGGCAATGATAAAAATGCCCGGTAGGAAGACATAGATGGGATTTCTGTGATTCTGGTGAGTCCTGTAACTGGGCATGTCCCTTGACACGTGGAATATCTATCTCCTAAGTTACAAGAGTTGTTGGCTTCTTGGGAACATAAGGCATCAAAGTGAGAGTAAATCCAGAACCTGCATACTGTGGATCTCTCTTCCTTCCACCTGAGATGATCGGGGAGGAAAAACCTGGGCAGAGACTAGCTCTTGGGCAGCAGAGTGGACCACCACACAGATAGTGAAGATTACCCCCCAAAGGGAAAGAGCCTGATGCTGCCTGGCTGGTAAGCTGGGACTCCAGTCCTGTTTCCAAGTGATTCTGGAACCAAGTGAGATCTGTTGTAACACTGTAAGTTTGAATGTTGAGGTGGTGTTAACAGGCCTGAAGCAGGGGTGTTCCTCACACGCTGAGGGAAAAGCCAGGAGGCCAGTGGGCTAGAGCAGAGTGAGGAGTAGAGTAATAGACTGAGGCCTGAGAGGCAACAGCTGCCAGATCTTGGAGGGCCTGGAGGCAGCTGTAAATATTATCTTTGCTCTGAGTGAGATGCTCTGTGTTTGGAGGGTTGTCATTATCTGACTTAGGTTTTGACAAGACCACTGTAGGTGCTGAGAATACAGTGTAGGGGGTAAGGATGGAAACGGGGATGACCGAGAAGGCTAGTGCAATAATCCAGGCATGACACAAATCAGATGGCTTGGACTAGGAGTGAAGCTGTGGTTCTGGATATATTTTGAATGAAAAAAAAAATGAGAGTTGCTAGAAGATTGGATTGAATGAGATGAATGAGAGAAAAAGAAATCAAGAATTACTATAAGAATTTTAGGCCTGAGCCACTGGAAAAAGTTTTTTTTCGAGCATGTTAAGTTTGAAATATGTACACAATGGAATATTACTCAGCCATTAAAAAGAATTCATTTGAATCAGTTCTAATGAGATGGATGAAACTGGAGCCCATTATACAGAGTGAAGTAAGCCAGAAAGATAAAGACCAATACAATATACTAACGCATATATATGGAATTTAGAAAGATGGTAATAATAACCCTATATGCAAAACAGTAAAAGAGACACAGATGTACAGAACAGACTTTTGGACTCTGTGGGAGAAGGTGAGGGTGGGATGTTCTCTCTCTTCAGAGAGAACAGCATTGAAACAAGTATACTATCAAGGGTGAAACAGATCACCAGCCCAGGTTTGATGCATGAGACAAGTGTTCAGGGCTGGTGCACTGGGAAGACCCAGAGGGATGGGATGGAGAGGGATGTGGGAGGGGGATCGGGATGGGGAACACATGTAAATCCATGGCTGATTCATGTCAATGTATGACAAAAACCACTACAATATTGTAAAGTAATTAGCCTCCAACTAATAAAAATAAATGAAAAAAATAAATAAAATGCCATGTTTCTAAAGGCATTATCAGATAAGCAAAAATCTTACATAGTAAGTTAGAAATTAGAGTTGGAAGAAATATTAATATAATCACTTATATTTCTAAAATAGGAAAATATATATATAAATAGAATTATCCTGATTGATCTTTAGGGGAAAAAACTATGTAAACTTAGCAGTTTATTCAGAAGTGGCTTCTTCAACTTGAAATGATAACTCTCAAAATGTCACAGATCATTTGGAAAGTACAATGATAATGAAAGAGAAATTGTGTTGTCACCATAATGCACAAGGAGGGGAGGAAGGGAACGTATATATAATCATGTCTGATTTGTGCTATTGTATGGCAGAAACCAACACAGCAATTTTAAAAGTTTTTAAAATATTGAAATAAAAAATGGGGGAAAGCACTGAAATTGGTGAAAGAACACAAAACTTTTTTTCAGTTAAGCAAGTGCAAGATTCCTTTACCTTCTCCGTTAGTTTCAGAGGTTTTAAGTCATTTCCTATATTTCCTCTCTTCCCCCTGCTTTAGTTTCAGAGGTTTTAAGTCATTTCCTATATTTCCTCTCTTAAAATCCATGGCTGATTCATGTCAATGTATGGCAAAAACCACTACAATATTGTAAAGTAATTAGCCTCCAACTAATAAAAATAAATGAAAAAAAAGATTTAAAAAAAGTTTGAAATATGTTAAATGTCCAAGTGGAGAAGTAAGCAGTTGAATAGAAGACCCAGGAGTTGATGGTAAGAGAATGATCATCTTCAGGAGGAAGGAGGTGTTGGATCCAGGAGGGATTATCATTGATTTTGGTAGAGAGAGCACCTTCTACAAGTACAAGAATGATGGCTACAGAGACATTTTCTGCAGGGAGAGGAAAGACACAGTAAGATGAGAGTGTATGCCTTAGAGAGCTTCCACGAAGTAGAAAGTGACCCATCTGCTGAGAGATTGTGGGGGGAGGGAGGCAGCAAGACGCGGCAACAAGGTGGGTATGGATTGGGGTCCTCGAGGAAAAGGGAGGATT